CCCACAAAGGCAGGGATCTCCGGACACTCCCACTCTGAGCCCTGCTGAGACATGCCAAGCACAAACTGCGAACGCAAGCAGTCATCGGATTTTATCACATCAGCATAGCCGACTGAAGCACTGGTACACAGAGAAGCCGACATCTGAGATGACAGGGCCCCGACAGGGGTAGGATGACAGAAGAGCAGTGCAGCGTGATCATCAACGACAGACCTTAGTAGACATGGTGTCACCCGGAAGAAAGCCAGCTGTGATTGGGTAGGCTTCCAGCACCAGGGAAGTCGAGTCTGATCCCAAGTCTGACATAGTGGTGCAGTGGAGCACCTGACCATGGACGAGTTGTAGGGAGGACGGCAGTACCAACCGTGCATCGGAGCACCGATGGATGAGATGCATTGTAATACGGTTCTTTTGCAGCAGCGGCAGCAGTGCCCGCCAAAGCGGCAATGCCGGCTTCCAGCTGTGATGTGTAAAAACCGAAAGTCACCGACTGTCATCTCAATATCCGGATGAATCCTAGACAGAGTCCAGCAGCCGGAGGGTGAGATACACGGTAACGTTCCCAGTCTCGGTCCGAGACGGCTCAAGAGTGTAAACTCCACCCGTGGGAGGGGCAGACATATCATTCGCCGTGACACCAGAAGGCAAGGTGATGACACTGGGGTGCATCCGATGACAGGTCGATCCAAATGCACGGCGAGGGCTGCGACTTCGAGCTGCACGGAAGGCAGCATGTTCCACTCCCGTAGCTTCGGCCAAGGGCCCCACTGCCCGTTCAGAGGCGAGCTGTTTCCAACCTCGGAAGACAGGCAGCATAAGATCCACGGAGGCCCCCACCGTTTCGAGCTCCATATCCGTGGGGGATGCCACCTCAGCCGGCATGTCCTCACCGCAGTCAGATCCAGCCGAGCAAGGCTTGTCCGCCATGCCAAAACGGACCTAGAGGTGTCTGGGTAACGAAGAGAACAGAGGCTCGACACAAGAGGCAACGGACACTCCACCTCGAACTGCGAGTGATGCCAGGCACTATGAGCAAGTCTAGTCCAACCACACAGCCTTCCCACGGCAGTTCCCCGCCTGTTCGTCGGCCTTGGCAAGAGAGCATGATATGAGGTCACAGGCATTAGGGACCATGTTCCAGGGCAAGCCTCACTCATAAAGTATTTCAGCACAGCCGGCCACGGACTCCACTTCATACCTGCATCTGATGTACACAGGAAGACAAAAGCACTCCGATCCGATGCATGAGGCAGCATCTCAGCTGGGCTGCGCGTCCCGGACAAGTCGTAGCCGAAGCGTGATGTTAACCGTACCCTGAGAGGGCACCCGTATCTCAACATGATACTCTGAGTCATCCGTTGTCTGTCGTACATCACCATCTCGAGCCACCAAGGCACCAGCAGCGGGATCCGAAGCATCACCCATGTCCCCGTGTCTGCCACTGGCGCAGCAGGCAGATGAAGCTCTCTGGCGACCTGCTGCGACGTCGTAGATCTGGCGGATTGACACGAGGCGCGGCAGTCTGTGGAGTCGTTGGATTCGTAGTCCCAGACACAGGCATGGGCCGCGGTGGACCAAACACCTCTCCTCTGGCCGCCCTGTCTCTGCGATCCTGGACATCGCGTTCGAAGTCAATCCGTTCCGCAGTTGTGAGCCCAGCCATCGCCTGTTCAGAGAGCGAGATGCTCGGCGGACTGTCACTGCCCCAGGATTCAGCATTATCGCTACTGCCAGCATCGGCAGTCGGCTCGTCGTGGAGACACGCCTGACATGGCTGCAAGGTCCACCAGGGCAGACACCTAGAAGGCAGGGGACAGTATGCCACTGTCACAGTAGCGCGACACACTCGAGCCACGGCGAGACAGGACTCATCAAGCTTCAGCCCCGCCACCAAGGAGCAGCTAAAGCCTGTACTTCCAACCCAGTGTAGACCCTGTGCAGCAAGTCTTCTGGTTAGGCAGGAGTTGCCGAGGAGCCGACACGGAACGGTCGCACCAGTAGGACCTGAACGAGAACCAAAGAGCAGGCTCACCCAGCCCGCCATACAATCCAACAAGCAAAACCTGCAATGCACAGTGGCAACTTTTCCGGCACAGAGAGTCCGATCTCTCCGCAATCAGATGATCTATCAGGCAGCACTGCCAGGCCCTGGAGGCCCAGTGGGCGGGCCCTTGGGTCGAACGGACGACGAGACAGCCTGAGCCGGAACCGCATCTGCTTGTACCGTAATAGTCCATCGCAGGGAACCAGACTTTGCCGCAGCAACCGGAGGGAGATGTAAGTGAAGCCCGCCCAGCGGTCCAAGACTCGGCGACGTGAAGCTCCAAGGATTGGTGGATGAGAACGGCGTGTCGGCACATCATGTAATGACTGAGCTGGGGTACGGGTGGGCCGGATGGCACATGCCCAGACCTGAACGTCGTGCTACCTGTGTGCACAGCAGGAGCTTTGGCCTTCGGACGTGTCGGTCTCGGGCCCACCTCCATGACTGTGCCTGTACCCAGCGAGGAAGGCCCATGCAATGCCGGTCCCAGAGATGCCTCTCCAGAGCCGAGCGGAGCGCAGGCGGTGCACGAACCAGCTCATCCGAGTCGTCATGGTCATCTGAGGCCTCCTCATACGCCGGATTGGCAGGACCAGATTTTGCCTTGGCCTTCGGCACGGTGAGCCCAGCCGACTGCTCCATATGCGATGAGTCTCTTTTGGCCATGATGCCCCGCAGTGCAGCAGGGAGTCTGCAATAGATCGACAAGGCTCGAGCCACAAACTATCAGTAGACCAAGAAGTGGCTGATACCTGGACATGCACAGGAGCAACACAGTCCAGAGCACCCACATGACGTCTCTGCCCAATCAACACTGGGAGGAGAGGTTCCCAGTGGAATCCTGCACATTGAACGTTGTAACAATCCAGGCCTGCCAGAACAACCGGTAAGGGCCAGACACTGGCTGAGGACACCTCTGGCCACGAAAAGGGCACCACATTCTCAGACAAGGTCAGCTGGGCTCCAGGCGAGGACACCTCAAACCTGAGCCCACAGGATGGGTGATAGACAAAGGGAAGCAGGCTGTCGAGATAAGGGGCACGCAATGCACCAGCAGGCCTGAGCACAAGTCGATATCCACCAGTGGTAGAGGCATGTGACTTGAGGCCCACACCTGTAGTAGCATGAAGATGAAGACGACCCGTGGGTAAGGAGTCGCAGACTACGTTTATTCTGAATAGAACATACCAAGCCTGCCTGCAACAAGCCAGGCCCTTACTGGCAGGCCCACATGTGTGTGCAACACTACATGCCCTAGCACCCAGCACGCCATATGACTCATTACGAGCAAGGACAGCATTAGCCCTGAGCAGCCAGCCAAAGCCTTGACTCCAGCATCTCAGAAGCAATGGTCCACGCCAAGTAGTACTAGCATCAGAGCTCAAGTTCCATGCTACCCAAATGTCATGCCCAGTCAGCGAAGAACAGCCATCAGTCCATCGCATCCAAGTCGACCTGTTTCCCAGAGGACAGCCTGAGAGCAAGCCAGTAAGGCCCATATGACAGCGCACACGGTCATGTTCAGACAGTTGCTGGGCAGGCAGCCCAGACCCTTTGCAGCCTAATCCAGAGAGGGAAGGCTGAGTTAGCATGAACTTCGCCATCGGCTGTAACTTCAGCCTGAAAATACTGGCAGTCCCCCCATGTGCACCTACCAAGGGAGAATGCACTGCTGACAGTCCTGAGAGGGGCAGTTGGCTGCACGCCGGCAGTCCGAACCAGAGGGTGCGACTTTCCAGACCATGTGTCTCCATCCACAAACCTGAGTACAATTGCTGATCACTGTGGTTGGGAGAGACCCCAAAAGATTTTGTGCAGCTCACGTTCTGGTGCGCATCAGACCTGAAGAGAAGAACCAGCAAGAATGGCCATCTTGCAACTGACTTCCACATCGGCCTGCCTCTGCTAGCAGGTGCATCCTTGATTTTGTTGGCTGCGCTGGTAGCTTGTAGTTCACCGTTCTGTCCCAGTCGCATGATCAACGGTTTGGAGTCCATAGCGTGCAGCAAGGGCAGGAACCCAGAAGAAGCACCACAACCCAAACCAAGGGAACAGACGCACCACAAACCAGGGCAGCCCACTAGCTCGTCGCTGTGAGCCTTTATACATACATACATACATACATACATACATACATACCTACATACCTACCTACCTACCTACCTACCTACCTACCTACCTACATACATACATACATACATACATACATGTAGGTATATATATATATATGTATACATATATCTGTGTGTGTTTGTGTATTTATGCGTGTTTTGTTGACCTTCGAAGTGGAATGGATCCTTGCCTTGTCTTCTAGGTCGTCCGTCGTCGAGAGTAAAGGGATATAGGGGCAGAGCGTCTCGCACTCAGCTATGAACTGGTGACAGCTGTCCTGAGCTAGGGTTCCTTCGAAGACAACTACTCTGCCCAAGACCCAGGCATCTTATCCCAATCTAGACTAATTGTTGTACCGTCCGGAGTCTGCGTCGAACATGAAGCTGCACACCCCGTAGCATGCTACAGACAGGACACGGAGCGTGATGAGCATTGCACAAAGCTGCTACCACGGCAGATATTCCGAGTCTGCGGAAGCTCTGGGAGCTCGAGGGCCAACAGCATTAAGGGCCAGAGTTCAAGTTTTTCGAGCGAAGGTGGCCATGGACCCGTGTGTTGTTGGGTTTGGGCGTTAGCCTTCGTGTGGTTTGGCATGCCGCTGACATGTCCAAGGAGTGGGACGCGATAAATGAAGGATTTTGGTTCTCCACCCCTTGTGAACCGGATGTATGTTGCCTAGAAGCATCCACTGAGGTGGTGTCCAGGCCAGGTTGAAATCGCATAGACGAGAGAGAGCACTGGTACAAGTAGTATCTGTGGCTTCGACCTCCGGGTCGTTCACACCAGGCGGACATAAACCGTAAGCTCCAAAAATCTGAAGCTAGCTTGAGTGCCATGGCTTCAGGCTGCTGGCCGGGGACTCCGACAAAGCCACGATCATGTGGGCCACGACCTCGGTTGCCAGACTTCCTGTTGCATCGAAATAAAGTCTATTGGGAAGGCTATTTCATGCAGGGTTGCACCTAAACCCTAAACTGCACGTCAGGTGTCGAACGTCACCGTGATAAGAAGGCATCTTCGGCTGCAGGCACCCGCCATGTCTTCTTCATCCGGCACGCGCAGCCTGGAGACGGCGAGCTCGCTGCTCAGAAGGTCAGCTGGGTCGCTTTGGGGCCTGTCTCTGCTCTGGCTCCAAAAATAATAGCCATAGCAATGGTACCCATAACAATCATACCCATCATAATGAACATCTTGAGTACGAGTTCGACCACTTTCCACTGCCGGATGCGAAGCCTCAAGCGCTTGTGGCAGTCTATGCGATGCTGGGGAGCTCTGAGTTGTTGTTGGTGACGTGGTGGATGGTGCATCTGAGTACAGGCTGTCATAAACTATAAGCTAATATAACATACGTTAGTATACAAAATATTCTGTAGTATATTTCTAGGAGATTGTAAGGTACTATAACACATGAATACACCACAATACACTGAGATGCTTCGTTTTTTCACGCCGTCCTTCCGAGGCCACTGACCCCACTAGGCAGACGCCAGGCCGAAGCCACTGCTCAGAGGCGCCCAGCGATCCTTCGTGGATTTTTCCTTACTTGTAGAAAATACATGGTCTGTTCGGAGCAATACGTTTGTGATATGCTTACTATTGTTTTAGTGCATTTGTTTGCTTACCATTGTCTTTGCTTTGGGGTTCATGGTCTTTGTTTTGGGTTCGAGGCTCCCTAAGATGGTCTTTACGAAGGGTTTGCCTTATGGATGCGTCTCTGAGCGAGGCTTCAAAGCCAGATTGCCAACTGCAAGCGCAAGGCAGCACGCCCAGCGAAGGGAGGATGAAGGAGCCTGCCCAAGCATTGTGCAAACGGGACAGGGGCAGGCAGCTACAGTATTCGGCCAAGCCATGTTCTGCGACTGTGCATCGGCAGTACCGTTGCAACTCGGAGCTGTGAGAAGTCTCGTTCTGTGCTTCTTAACTCGTGCCAAGGTGATTTTCCACTCGCCCGCCCCGGAGGCCAAAGCCACCGCCGACATCATCCAAAAGACCCTCGGCAAGGCACCAACGCTGATAGTCTTTGCCTCAAGTCTCACGGGTACGTAGAGGGGGTTCTTTCAAGTAAGGGTGCCTTATTGAGAGGTCCAGATGTCATGACACGGATACGAAGGCTCTATCTTACAGAACCTTTCCTTTTTTGCCCATGGGTTGCAAGACAAGCAGAGCTTGAAGGCATCAAGGTTTTTTTCGGTAATCGACTTGGCTCCGAGTCGGCAAGGATCGGACGAGCGCAAAGTCTGACACCCTTGAAGCATGACCAATGATAGCTAGCTACTGCATGAAAGAGTCCTTAGAGACGAGGTACCCCTAAGTGACCACAGAGACGAGTCGAATTTTACGGGAGAGGTTCGGACCAAAGAGTCCCCGCTGCTGGCCGAAGGCATCCCGGTGGTGGCCCGGCAAGGATTGGATATGTCGGAGATCACCAGAGCAGTGTCTGAGGAGTCGGGACAGAAAACCCACGAGTCTCGGGGCGGATGGTTGCTGTGCTCGCGGCAGGTTCCCAGCCCGGCGCCGGCCACTCCGACCCGCTTTTCAGGGCTTTGGCGAGCCGCCTTCTTTTGCTGATGTGCCAGGAGCAGCTGCAGGAGATTCCTCACGAGGCCAGGAGAGCAAGCAGCTCAGGAGAGCAACCGAGAAGTGTCCTTCACCGGAGGTCCTCGCGAGCGACGGGGCCCGTGCTGAAGGGGCGCTGCGAACTCACGTGGTGCGCGCCTGCTCCGAACGAAGCAGCACGAAAGCCCCGTTCACAGCTTTGCCACTGTCTCCCCCGTGCAGTGGCGGCCTGCTGGTGGTCCGGATGCGAGTGCCGAGGCATCTTGAGGAGAGACTCTGCAAGTCTCTGAGTGCTTCAGAATTCAACCAGACCATCAGCTGCATCGCACACATTCTGGAACATCCCATGAGAATCTGATGAAGTAGTAGGCATGGCAGGAACAGCAAAAGACTGAGAGAAAACACCCGCAGTCGAAATTGATTGGAATCAGAGCGAGAGTCGCAGTTATCTCAACACTCACACAGTTATTCCGTTATTCCGTGCAGCGAATCCCCTGTACTGCATGGGATAACATCACAAGAATCACAGTCAAAGCAAATCCATGAGGCTCGCCACGCTGGTAGCAGCAACAAGCAAAGCACTGTTTCTTCGACCTGTCGTGTCGTGCAGGTTGTCATCGGCCACGGAAATCTCATACGGTACCTTGTGTGTGGGGTTCCGAGTGGCCAATCACCATATCAGAGATCGCACTATCTTGTCAAATTTGCAAATTATGATCGGGTTTGGGGGTTTCGGGTTGCGTTCTTGCGAACTTCCGGTGATGCACTGACACTTGATACGGTACCTTCCTACAAACGCTTTTTTCAGTCAAGCAGGAAGGCTGCATTGTCTTCACTAGTCGCTAGCGTAGGGAGACGTCTTCTGAATTGGCCGAATTTCTCAGGTTGCAGTTGGCCTTCTCCTCCGAGCTACTACGGTTACGAAGCTTTGGATATCATCGGTCATCTCTTGGCATGGGTAATGCAGGAAGTTGTCCATCTGTACCCCATGACAGGGCAACAGTTGTCAGATGTGTAACTGCTCTTCATATCCCACCACGAACCTTCTCCTTCCCCCACTTGGAGGTTCATGGGTAGTTATAACTGGGGTCATAAGTAGGGTAACTATACTTATAACCCATATTAGGGGTCTTATAACCCCACTTATAACTACCCACGAACCTTCCCCCCAAACAGATCTCAATGACTTGTCAGTAGAACACACGGACCAAAATTCTTGAAGCTGGAGAGCCCGAGACTGGAGCACTCCGGACATGTCTGAAGGGTCCTACTCGACATGCTTCTTGAAGGACGTTACCTCGCATTCCTTTTCCAAAAGTGCTTAGGTCGTGTACCATGTTTTTGATTCTTTGGGCCCGCGAATAGATTTTATAGGTCGCTTGCTGAAACTTGGCAGCCAAGTGCGACTCGCATTGATTTTGGAGCCCCTGAACCCTGCTAAGCCGAAGGCAAAGCCTTACAGCCCTTGCTGTCCTGGACTGGTCGCAGACACTTTTGAGACCCAAGGCCCAAAGCCCGAGGCATCGCTAGATTTCTCATCGAGAACTCCTCTGAGACTCCTCTGTGCAACGAGCTGAGGCCGAGCGCTTCAGCTGAGCCCCTTGGTGTGGTCCCGCTTCGCCGTGGCGCTCTGAGCTCCGAGCGGTTTAAGCGTCAGTCCTTGTTTGGTACTTCGAGGGGTTTAGAGTTTAGATTTCAAGGTGTTTCTGTCAGGAGGAGGACCCTTCAGTCCCAGAATTCGACCATGGTTCAGGGGGCTACCATCGTCGCCATGAGCATCCCGGCCTTGCAAATGATACCTGCAGTTCATTTCTAGTACATCACTTGATAGATCTCTTGAGGACAGAATCAGGCCTTAGATTGCGCAAGTCGAGAGTCAAGAGTATGGCAGCTTGAGCTGGCATGGCTTGCCGCGCACACTCGTCCAACCGCTGAGTCAGCCAATGCTGCCAGCAGAAGTCCCACGTCTGCTGCGGGTTCTGGTGCTTTGATGTGCCGTATGTCAGCTTTCCCCAAGACGGTTGAGGAGAGGGGGAGAGGGGCTGGTGGGCCCGTCAAAGGCAGTTGCTGTTTTGAAAACCAGGCGGGGCATTCGACGATCTCCTGGATCGAGATCCGTAGCGACGGGGCGGCTCCGAGGCTGCACTCGGCAAGCGCTTCATCCTTCTACCAGCAAAGGAAAAGGGCCCCCTGAAGGAGGGCTCGGCGAGCAAAAGAGATGCATTTGCCAATTGAGGTGCTGCTGCGCGAGTTCGGCAGCGCTGGGCATCTGTCGCAGGAGCTGCAGTCCTACAGGCTCGGCTGCAGGCGGTCTTAAGACTGTCTTGGTCATGGCGCATAGAGTTTCCTTCGGAGCACAAGGGCACCATATCTAGAGTGTCCGACAACGAGGATCCCACTTACTTCACACAGCAGTCATCTTTCAGCACCCAAGCTCCGTTTCGGCCATGACCACAAGATGGACCCATGCATGCGGCGCGTGAACATGTGAGGTGACCGGTATCTTCGCCGACTGATGGACCATGGAATGCTTGCTCTCTGCAAAAAGGCCACTGGAAAGCTTGCCACCTGATACAACGGAGAGTTGTTCTTTGTCCTTGGGTTTCTGTGTCTTCGTCGTCCGACATAGCCCAAGCTTGTATCATTACAACCCTCAGCTGATTCTTGGTTGCAGATTGCTGGAGTGTTCGGCCTGCAGATGTATGGCTGCGGGCAGAGAGAGGATTAGCGAGTCATGTTCCAGAGCTTGCGATGGTTCCTCGTGTTGCCAGTGCTCCAGGCCGCCAAGATTTACAAGTGCAAGTGGCCACGTTCAGTTTTAAGCAGTGGCGATCCCAACCTCACTGTATCCTTGGCAGATGGTTCGGAAGTCAAATGTGATAGGACGGGAGATGCAAGCTTCCTTTGTCCTGCGGCCTGCGACTACATCCAGAGTGAGCCATACCAATGCGTGGGGCCCATTGAAGATGGAGACGTGTGCAATACAGTCTGGGGGCGGAGCAGCCTCAGCTACTACAAAATGACGAGTTATAATGACACGCATGCATGCACACAGCGGTTCAACTCAGACTGCTCTGAAGACATGGGAGGCGTCTTCTGTCAGGAGTTGCAGCAATGCTACGGCTCGTATCAAGAGGTGGGAGCAGAGAGAAAAGAGGATGCCAAAAAGAAAACCCAAATAGAAGGGCCCAAAAATATCCGAGGACCCCCAAAAAAAAGGAAAGGGGGCCCTGAGGTCATCTTCGACCAGCCGACCTTTCTGGCCAAGTACGGTTACGAGCCTAGCTTTTTGCTACAGCCCTTCGAGATCTTGGAGCCTCCGTCTTGCCACTGGTCTTGTGGTAAAAGGACTTAGTAAGAAGCTGGCTGAGAGACAAAACTAAACTAAGAAATCAAGCTGGTTCATATACGTAAAGCCCGAGTAGGGTAGCTTGAAAACAAAGCTCCGCAGGAAGAACAAAAGACCAAAAAAGACCCAGGCTATTACCTCACCGGACCAGAGTGCTGCATGGCCAACATCAACTTCTTCCGCTGCTTACACGACGCTCCGCCGGTGATTTACCATGAAGGTATCGCCGGAAGCGCCCAAGAGTGGGCCCAGAAGCCAGACAAGCCATCTATCCATTCTGGTTGGGGAGGCAGCTTCTACCCCGAGTACACAGAGGTGCTGACGTGGGGAACGGGCTCCTGCACGCGAGGTGTCAATGCGTGGTACCAAGAGATCGGGGTTCACAACTTCAGCATTCCAGCCGTCCAGAATGCTGGCGGTTCCTATAATAGCGGCCACATGGTCATCCTTCTTTGGCACAATCATACCATGGTTGGCTGTGGCTTCGATAACACGGGGGGGGGGCTCTCAGCTCCCATCGTGGTTTGCGATTTCTCCTGGCCTCATCAGGGCCACAAGGGCCCCGAGGCATGGGAGGCCAACTTGAAGCCGCGAAGTGAGACAGCAACACAACAGATATGCCGAGACCTTGCCATTCATTCCACACGATTTCCGATGCTGGCGGCGGGACAAGATCTCACAGCAGAGCAAGTCGCTTTGCTGCGGACGGCGAATGCAACTGCCATACTAGCAGCAAACATTTCTGCAGGCTCCAGCAATGCCACCGGGGCTGGAGACTCGTCCACCAGCACAACGGCAGCTCAGGTAGCTCAGGTCACAAGCACAACAACATCTCAGGCTGACACCGAGGATTCGCAGTCGAACGCTAGCGGAGCCAACACGACGACTGTTGCGGAGACGACAACGCCTCGAACTTCCACTCCGGCAAACATCGGGCAAGCCTCAACCGAGATTCCCTCTTTTGTTGTGAGCTCGCTGCTGATTGCTCAAGTGTTCTGACTGTTCTGAGTTTTCAATTCCGCAGCTTCGAATCCGAGTGGGTGTATCTCACTATTCAGCTGCCTTCACCTGTGATTCTCCCCTAGCCATGGAGCTTGTGCGCGTGTTGGCTACGGCTAATGCTTTTCAAGGCGGAATGCTCGCCCCCTTGCAAGATGCACCACGAAGCGAAAAAACGTTGACGACATAGTACTGTCATAAATATTACTGAGGATACGCTGAGTGGCTCTCAAACTGCTGCGACTGCTGCTACTCCTTCTCTGCCACTACTACTGCTGTTGCTTGTCCGCCTACAAATACTGGATATGACTAGGCAAACTATTGCTGCTGCTACTATCAAAGTTCATTGCTTTTACCGAGTGGTACTAGTAGTAGTAGTAGTAGTAGTAGTAGTAGTAGGAGGCGCCCCCCCCCTACCAACTGCACTTGCTCAAAACCATCTTAAGAGC